CCCAAAGCCTCCTCATCATCCTGCACAACTTACCTAAATGAACTAAAGGAGTTTCGTCAATCCATTCAGAGTAGAGATTCCACTTTTTAACCGTCGTCAACCAGCTAGCAAACCAGGCAAACGCGTGGAAATTTACTTTACTAACAGATACTAAGAACTAAGAACAGATTTCTAACATCTTCGCCCTTGTTTCAAGGAATTTATTATTTTTAATTTTTTTATTTTTCCCCCCTTATTATTGATAGTTTTTAAAAAAAATTTCTTTCTTTCTTTACACATTAGACAGGGAAAATTCAATCTTTCAAGCCGAACAGTTGGGAATCCTTGAATGCATTAAATATATTAAGAGCACTGAAAACTTCAATAATAATGATAATTATATCATCTGATCGGACTCAAAAGCATCAATATCATCAATACTTGATTTTGGCACAAATAATAGAATTTCTTTTGATATTCAACAAGAACTTCAACACACAGCAATACAAATTTCCTGGATTAAAGCACACAGCAATAGAGTATGTACCCGTTCCTAGGCTGGAGTGATCTGGACTAGTGGCCAATGGTTAAGGGTTTTTCATAACCTAGGTACATGCTCAGGGCTTGGAGAAAACAAAAGAAAGTTCCCTTGCCCCATTTCATTTTTCAACAGGCTCGGACCTCTGGATCAGGTTTAGACACGCTGGTTTTTCGGAGAGTGGAAGAAATTTTACCATCAATCAGTTAACTTTGTTATTATATTAATATGATTAATTCTGATCGTTTTGGAAAGGATTGAAACTTACATTGTCATCGAGCTGCGCGGAGGGGTTCTCACAACGTGAGCACTCTAGTTAATCAGAAAGAGGTCGGAAATTTGACAGGCGGTACGTTTCATTTGGCAATAATTTCATGATAAATTCTGCTAGTAACGGCATAGAGCTTCAGTTTAAATTTAAATGCTCTAGCCAGTCTTAAAGAGGTTGGAAAATTTTGACTGACGGAAAATTATCTTTGACAGTAATATCAGAATAAGTTCTGCTGGTTGTGGCCAAAAAATGAGAAAATCTTGCATTGACATCTTGCACGGAGCTTTAGTACTGTCTCGAGTGCTCTAGCTAGTCGGAAAATGACCTAAGTTTTAACTGCATGGTTCCATCGGCGCAAACAATCATCTATCGAGATTCCATCGCAAGGATATCAAGATTCCACTAAATTAGCGGGAAATTTTTTTTTTTTTATATTAAGATAAAAATATTTATTTAAGTGATAAAAAGTGTGTTTATAAAAATATAAAATTCTAATGATGGTGTCGCAGTTTTCCATTGTTGTCAGTGCATTTTTATTGGCCAGAAAATCACGTGGTGTGATCCAGTTTTTCCTCATTCGTCTCCTTATTGTTTTGGTTGTAGTCAGCATAAAATTAATAAAAGTCATGCTTTTCTATAAATATTTTTGAATCCCTAACTTAAAGTTATTTTCCTGTACTGCTATTATTACGCTTTTAATTCAAGAGTTTAAAACTAAGAGAATTGCTGTTTTTTTATTAGTATTATAATGTAAATCTGCCTTACATTTTAAGATAAAGTTATTTAGAAAGGTGGTCTAACAATTATTATTTTTGAGCAAATAACATTAATATACTGTTATAAATTACAGTTAAAGAGATCTGTTAAATGATTTAGAACTTAAGGATCAGCTTCATGCACAATGAGATGCAGGCAAAAAAAAAATATTTAATATATCCTACCGTTTGGTAAGTGAAAATATTAAATTAAGGATGTGAACTCATCAAATTTGTTTCAACAATATAACGTTATAACAACATAAATGTTATTTAAAAAAATGATTACTTAGAAAAATCACTTCTGTTTACCAATAGATCTAAATATCTAATATATATAATTCTCTTACGTGGCTCCCAAATTTTGGCTGTATTTCTTTTCCGCCGGTGGCAACGTTTGCTTTGTTTTGCTTACGCTACTATTTCTGTTACACGGCGAATCGACCCATGATTGCCGCTAAAAATGTCACATGCCAAATCTATCTGAGGTGACTCAACATATAGCGCTTTTAAAAACGGAAACTGAAATAACCAGAGAGCATCAGCTGCGGCAATCTCATACTATTAAGCTAGGCAGAAGTGAGTAGTCTTTGTCGATAGATCTCTATTTTAGTATTTTGTCGAAAGCGCTTTTTTTCACGAATTTATATATTACGAATTTATTTGACGATTTTTGATTTACATCACGAATTATACTATAGCACATTTCTAATAGGTTTAACGAATTACATGTCATTTATTTGAATTCAAATTTATTTTAATGACTTAGTATTTACTAAAAAGATGTAATTTTTTTACATGGATTTGAATGATTGTTTTGAATTCTTAGAATTTTGTGCATTAGCAATGTACCTAAGTTAGTAGCGAACGAAGCGAGCTTGGTTTGCGAAGCAAACCATATAAGATTGCGTAGCAATTTTCGGAGGTTGGCGAGCGTTAGCGAGCAGGGGCGCAGCCCACTAGTATAAAAATAATTGGAAAAAAACGATAATCAATTTAATTTTATAAAGTTATCAATAATTAAAATTCTCTCTTTTAATTTAAATTCTATTCGCTTTAGTTACATTTTTAACATGTCTTTAAGTTAAATATAGCATAATTAAAAAAATTAAGGTTATTTATATTAAGATGAAAATATTTATTTAAGTGGTTAAAAATATGTATATAAAAATAATTAAAAGAAGAAACTTTACTAATTCAATTTTTGCAAAGTTGTTAATAATTTACTCTTTTAATTAAAATTCTGTTTACTTTAGTTTCTTTTACTTTATATCTTTGACTTAAACATCACATGATACTAAAACAGAATTATCAGACATCCGAATTCGTCGAAAAAAATGTATGTTTGTTCAAAGAAAGTACGTTTTTGTGTTTGATTTCGTAACTTAAAATATCGTCTGCACTTATTAATTAGCATAATTGAGGTCACCCTCTCGAACCACTAAGATCGAGTCGTAAAACGTAAAGATCCGATCATTAGATCAAAAACTGCTTAAGATGGTCCGTTTTTTTTTTTAATTTTGCACACTGTACATAATTGTAGTTTTATTTCTTACTTTTATTCGTATTTATTTTCTTTTAAATTTTCTAAACCCAACAAATATTAATGATTGCTCAAAGTTCCACATTTATTCTTTCTAACAATTCAAAGAAATGATTTAATGCTCGGCAGAGTGCTTTGGTAAATAAAATGTATAGGTACATATTATTTTACTGTTTTTCAGCGTCTGACGACGCTATTTCACACCTTGATAATAAAGAAGAAATAACAAGTTAAATGAAACTAATTACCACAACAAGAGGGATTGAATTTTTTAGGTCGATGTAGGTACCTTTTTGACGCACTAGGTATTCGTTGTCGAAAAAATTTAAATGTGCAAAATGCATTTTCGGTCGCCATCTTGGTAAAACATCGAATATGAAGAAAAAAAAAGTCTGATTTAGAAACAATATGAATTGTTTTTGGCACTAGAAAATAACGTAAAATTTGTTTTTTGAAGAAAATTATTTAGAAGATATAATTATGGCATAGGCCTTACAAATAATATGAATTAGGAAAAGGCGTTTTTTTTTTTAATTTTATTTTTTAATGCAGAGTCAAAAAAACTTGTAAAGCTAGAAAAAAATGTATGCTCGCTAATGACGTTTTCAGCATTTCTTCAGAAATACTAATATTATATTACTTTTTACCTTTAAATACAGTGCTTTTATGATAATTAATGACATTTTTTAAAATTTTTTTAATTATTTTCAATGATGGCGGCTAAAAAACGCCGCTTACACCGTTCTTACCTTTTTTTAGAAAGATACCAACAATGAACTAAAAACTTCTTGCGCCTTTTTTATGGGACTGGCATATATTTTATACTTATTTCTCCAATACTTATTCATACAATCACAAAATATCTATTCATTTCAGTCATTAAACAAAAGCTTTTTTTTAAAAAAAATTTAATAATTCCGGACAAATTTTCGATATATATCAATCGAAAAAGTTAGTCATGCATGAGCAAGTTTCCCAGATCTGTTTGTAACTAACATACACTTCTAGTGTTAAATTTATAAATGTAAGAAAACAATTTTTGGCAATTACAGAAAATGTCTTATTGCTTTCATTAAATACTCAACTTTTACCCACAATGAAAATGCAGAAGCCCCGAAGCAAAGTCCAAGAGCACCACCAAAATAACCGAAAAGTTCGTCACTTCGATAAACAGGTACCTGCTTCACCATTACTTTCTTAGAAACTTCGAAATTAACTTTCAACAAAGCAAACCTTTTCCTAAAATATTTTAAATACGTTTTCCATCTTATCAAAGAAGAGTTATCAGATGTAAGAAACTGGTTGAAATAATTTTCCGAAGGCCAAACTGCTTTCGAAACATGCTGATCAAAATTTACTGCTAAACATGGATATGGACATTGACAGTCGAATTTGCCGGTAGCCAAATCCTTAAGGGCATCCTCTAAGCAACACATTTGCACTGTATCAGTCAAATTACAATGTCTTTTATTTATTTGAACTGCGTGGATTGTTGGATCAACGCACCCACATTTGATGTAACTAACATTTTGAATACACGATTTGATGCAATCGCTTTGACTCAAGTTGGCGTCATAAGTTTTGCATTCATCTTTGTAAGGTATTGGTAATCGTTCCATCACAGTTTCGCCAAGTGTAATGCTTGTCTCAAATCCAGCACTGNCTTTTTTATGGGACTGACATATATTTTATACTTATTTCTCCAATACTTATTCATACAATCGCAAAATATCTATTCATTTCAGTCATTAAACAAAAGCTTTTTTTAAAAAAAATTAAATAATTCCGGACAAATTTTCGATATATATCAATCGAAAAAGTTAGTCATCCATGAGCAAGTTTCCCAGATCTGTTTGTAACTAACATACACTTCTAGTGTTAAATTTATAAATGTAACAAAACAATTTTTGGCTATTACACAAAATGTTTTATTGCATTCATTAAATACTCAACTGTCACCCACAATGAAAATGCAGAAGCCCCGAAGCAAAGTCCAAGAGCACCACCAAAATAACCGAAAAGTTCGTCACTTCGATAAACAGGTACCTGCTTCACCATTACTTTCTTAGAAAATTCGAAATTAACTTTCAGTAAAGCAAACCTTTCCCTAAAATATTTTAAATGCATATTCCAGCTCATCAAAGATGAAATCTGTCTATCAGATGTAAGACAATGGTTAAAAAAAATTTTCGAAGGCCAAACTGCTTTCGAAACATGCTGATCAAAATTTACTGATAAACATGGATATGGACATTGACAGTCGAATTTGCCGAAAGCCAAATCCTTAAGGGCATCCTCTAAACAACACATTTGCACTGTGTCAGTCAAATTACAATGTATTTTATTTATTTGAACTGCATGAATTGTTGGATCAACGCACCCACATTTGATGTAACTAGCATTTTGAATACACGATTTGATGCAATCGCTTTGACTCAAGTTGGCGTCACAAGTTTTGCATTCATCTCTGTAAGGTATTGGTAATCTTTCCATCACAGTTTCGCCAAGAGTAATGCTTGTCTCAAATCCAGGGCTGAGGAGTATTCCTTTTTCTTCCAGATTGGGTAGTTCCGAGGAATTGTGGATTAATACTTTTATTCCAAGGCTTGGCGATACTTTATCCATGTAGGAACTTTCATCGATATCCAAGAAAAGTTCTAAAGTGCGATAAGGTAAATATCTGCTTGCTTTTATGTCGGCTGTATTTTTAAAGGTGAAGCAATTTCCATACTGCAGGTTTAGAAACAAAATGAAATCTTGAGCTTGGCAGTTTTTTCCATTGAAAGTGCATTTGGTGATTAATTCTTGAAAACGGTATCCGGCATACATTCTACTTTTCTCATCCATATTCGAATAATTAGTAAGGAACTCTAATTCAAAATTTCCGAGATGGTGATTTGTTTTGTTGTTGTAGGTTCCACGCGAGAACAAATTCCTTCTTTCAGACGAAATTAAGAATGGTAAATACCCAGATTCTTCTCTTAGCATTGGACAATTTTCCATTGGCACGCTGTCTTCCATGCAAGGATGATACAGACTTTTCATCCGATTTAAATTGCAGATGGTGACAGAGGGAACATTGTTCTTTTCTTCGATTTCAAACGACAAATCAATAAGAACGGGGTAACTTAAATAATTGTCTAAGTATCGGAAAGTATTATACGAAAATGCGAAAAAGCAAAATATTGAAAACAAAATTTTTATTATTTTTTCTAATAAGAATATCATTTAATTATTTAGGAGAAAAACAAAACTATCAGTTCAATCTATTTATCAGCAGCGATTATTTATATATTTTCTTTTTTACCTTGATTTTGAAATTAAAACAGATAAGAATTTTAATTAAAATAATTTATGTCAGAAAGGTCATTTATCCAAAAGAAAATTAGGATTATATAATTTTATCAACTATATTAAGTGCCATAAGAAAAGTTTTATACTTCAATTCGCAGTTTAAAAATCATGTCCCATGTAAATATTATATATTCCACCTTTAAACGCATTTCTACAAGTGATCGAAAGGCTAGAAATAATATTTCCTTATTTAAAAAAAATATATAGATAAAGCACTCATTCTAAACAACGCACTCTGCAATATTTAATTGCAATCCCTAAATTGAATGACATGCAGCGTGTCATTTATAATTAAACATGTATTAAAAAGAAACAAAGTATTGGAACCTGGGAACATTATGCCATTTATTTCGTCACGCAAATGTGACTTCAGGTAATCGGTTAAGTAGCAAAAGTGATGTTTGCATGGAAGTCATCAAATGCACTATTTTTTCTCAAAATAAATTTACTTCTAAAATACATGAAAGAGGGAAAAAAAGAAATTAAAAGAAAAGGAAACTTTAAATTGTCTGATTTCTGATGAGAAACTTAAATGGGAAATAAATATTTCAGTATTCTGCAGTAGCTTTTTATCGCAGACAGGGATTTTACTTAGGAATAATTGATGTATAAAATGTTATATTTCCTTTTTGTTGTTAATTATAATACAGACAATGATACTATGAACTGGAAATAATTTTTTTAAAGCGACAGCAAAATTGAGAAAATAAAAATGTTTTCAATTATTCCTGTCAGCATAAAAAATGATACATTTCATAAGAGAACTAGGGGGGCTAAGCCCTATAGTTCGTTGACCCTCACCAGCCCCGATGATTGATTCGTAATAATTACTGCTTCTTTGCAGAAAACAGTTTTTCTTTTAAAATCAAAATTACTCACTTAATATATATGTACTAAAAGAATTATTTTTGCTTACGCTTGTGATTCCACTTCCCACATCCAAATATTATTATCTATTACTATTATAACTATTTAGAACAGAAGTAAATTTTTTAAATAATCCTCTTTTAAACTAACTTTTATATTGTTATAATTTGATGACTTCACAGCCGTAATTTAATATTTTTGCTTACCAACCGGGCGAATATATTAAATACTATTTTTGCCTGCATTGCATTGGTGCATGAAGCTGATCGTTAAGTTATAAATCATTTAACAGATCTCTTTAACTGTAATTAATAACAGTATATAATGTTATTTTCACAAGAATAATAATTGTAAAATGGTGAATAAAATTAAACCACCTTATTAAATAGCTTTATCTTAAAATGTAGAGCAGGATTATAATAATAATAAACAATTCTCTTAGTTTTAAACTATTTAATGAAAAGCGTAATTATATTGGTACCGGAAAATTATTTTAAATTAGGGATACAAAAATATTTATTGAAAAACAATACTTTTATGACTTTTATGCAATCAAAACACCATGGAAATGAATGAAGAAAAACTGGATCCTACCACGTGATTTTTCGATTCAATAAAAATGCACGAACAGTAATGAAAAAGTGCAACACCACCATTAGATTTTAATGTATAGGAAGATATACCACACAAATTGAGATAAGGTGTTTCTGAAGGTCTTTAATGTGGGGAAGAAGGGCATACTATGAGATGCTGGGGAGAAGAAAATATGAAACGTGTCACAGTAATATTTAAATTTAATTGAGTGAGGCTGGCAATGACCCTGACAACACCATGCCCGCCAAACGATACTTTTGAATCTCAACTCCGAAGAAATCTCAGGGTTCCTGTTATCCACGAGCACCTTGCTAGTCTGAATGCTAAATTCTTCAGAGTAAGAATGAGATGCACCACTACGTAGACGTCTTTAACTTTGAAATCATCGATGAACAAATACGAAACCGTAACGGTATTCTCTCTCGTCTCATGGAGACCTTTCCCATCAATTTAAAAGCTGTACATAGTTGTATATAATTATTTTATCGTAAATATATTGTTCTGTTATCCCTGCCTTATGCATCCTGCTCAGATTAGCTATTAACCTAGACTTCTAACCTTCTCCCTTTCTTTTTTGCTTTTTAATGTTGTGCAACACTGATGAATGAGATCAATGAGAGAATAAAATATATGGGTAAACTTATATGGTAATCATAGACTGTTTGAAGCAGACGTGTCTGGTGGGCTCACCGAGCCGAGAGCTTCTTTCCATCTGCCTACCACGGATCGAGATCAGTTTTCGGAAATAACCACCGACTGCCTCATTGTCAAACTGCTGCGATGATGTTTCTCGCTACTTTCTGTGTTAACCTGTTAATGATGCAAGTGTTGTGGACTAACCATCTAAACGGTGTTGACTTTTAAACTACGTTTTATACTCAGAATTTTATGATTGCTGTTGCTAATAGACCAGGATATTATAAAAACACCCAATACACAAGCGGCAATGAATTGGATGAATTAATTTGCTTGACTTTGAACGTATTACTGCGTTGAGGACACAGTAGTATCACTTAGGACTACAATCAACCTGTTTATATCCATTTGCGAAATTGTTTGTCCACTGATCGGCTTACTAGTAAATGTTCCTCTGTGAATTTCAAGTTCTACCGAAAAGTTCAAGTTTTTTAAACAGTCTGGTGACGCTTTCTACTCCTCCGAGATTAATATAAT